GGTCAGCTTTCAGAGAAGTTTGAAGGACTTTGCTGGCACTGTAACAAACCTGGGCACAAGAGAGCTCAATGCCGACAACTTCAACACAGGAAAGATGCCACGGCAGGAAAGGCTGTTTGAATTGTGGAGAGCAAGGACATATGAAGAGCCAGTGTAATAAGAATACTACCAATAACTCAGCCTCGGGAAACCAGTAGTGGTTAGTGTTGAGGGACGCCCACCAACCCCATTGTGAAAGTCCCAACAGCTAAGTGTAAAATGCCAAGCACATATAGTGTTTATATGACAGGAAAGCTGGATGGCCAAAAGTGCAACTTTGTCATAGATTCTGCATCTCGGCAAACCCTTGTGAGTATCAAGGTGCTAGATCACAAAGGAGTACCAGAAGCCATACAGAAGTTCTGTGGTGTGACAGGACATTATGCAAGGTTGTGGGGACCAGTGTGGGTAACTATTGAGCTCATGGGCATAAAGAATAGACATAAAGTATACTTGGCTGACATTGAAGACCCATGCAAATTAGGGTTGGACTACTTACTGCTGAAGAAGTGTGTAGTTATCTTTGATAAAATGACATTTGGGAACAACAAAGGCCAAATTCCGGTAAGTGTTGCTGTATCTGTTGATTTGCGTATCCCAGCACTTAAATCGACTATGTCAGAGAAGATAATTTTGGGTAGAATAAAAGAACATCCTCAAGGGAGCCTGATGCTTGTGGAAGCAGTGGAAGACCCATCCAGGCCAGCGGACATGAAGATTGGAAGGTCACTTGTGGCAGGTTATCAAGTAGTACCCATAACAGTGACTAATTTCTCTAAATGTAAGCAGACACTTAAGGAAGGGGCACTGTTGGGTGTGAGCCAGGAAGTAGAGCTAGACAATGTTAAGGCAAGAAATACAACCATAAAAAAAGGACATCCTCTCCCTGAACATTTAACTGACCTCTATAAGAAGAGCATAGCCCATTTGTCATCATCACAGGCTCTTCAGGTTAGGGAACTTTTGGCGAATTATGCAGAGGTCTTTTCAAAAGGAGATCATGACCTCGGATGCACAGACCTTGTGGAGCACAGAATAAATACAGGCAATCACCATCTAATAAAGATCGCTCCGAGGAGAATAGCTCCAGCAAAGCAACAAGAGATGGAGAAAGTCATGGATGGCCTAATTAAAGTAGGGATAGTCAAGAAATCAGATAGTCCCTGGTCAGCTCCCGTCGTGTTAGTCCAGAAGAAGGATGGGACCAACGTTGCTGTGTGAACTTCAGGGCTCTTAACAGTATAACCGAAAGGACTCATACCTGCT